CGGCCGGGCACCGTGCGGCGCGGCGGGAAAATGTCTGCGGACCACGTGTTGGGCGGGAAAATGTCTGCAGACCACGTGTCGGGTGGAAAAATGGCCACGGACCACGTGTCAGGGCGGAAAAATGACCGTACCCTGAGGCGGAGTTTGCACATCGAGGTAAATTTTTGCAGCCGGAGCTGGTCATAACCCGAAAAGTTCATTAGTAGAGGCGTTCGTATCCCGAGGTACCACTGTAATTGTCTTTTCTCTGATCAAAGAAGTCAATTTAGCCACCTCAGCAACTTCCATCACCTTCACCAACCATTCCTCCATTGTGAGTAGTGCCAAATCTTTCTGTCTTTGTATATTCAATAATCTTGCTGCACTAGAAAGATACATTCTGACCTTGTAACAATTTTGGGGGGGTGACATTTTTTTGCCTTTTGTCTTTGTTCTACCTGCTAGCTTTACCTAAGAAAAAAAGCTAAAAAGTTTAAACTTTCTGTCTTTAGTTTTTGTTTTTGTTTTCTTCCTAGCGTTTTTCCCATAGGTGCAGGGCCCGCTGTTTTGGATCAACCAAATGCTGATCCATTGGTTGCAACAGAAATTGACCGACCGACCGACCGACTTGTTGCCCGAGCCTGACATCGTGGGCTGAGAGGGAGTGACTGGCCCAAAGTCACCCAGCCGGCTTTCATGCCTATGGCAGGACTAGAACTCTCAGTCTCCTGGTTTCTAGCCTGATGCCTTAACCACTAGACCAAACTGGGTCTCTTTAAACTTTCCATCTCTGTATTTTAAATTTAAAGGAAAAGTTTAGTTAATCCCTTGTATACAAAGCTAACAATGGAGTGGGAGACATTAGGCTTTTAGATCCTTATTCCTTTCTTGCACAATATCTTGTCACTTTTAATGCAGTTAAGGCTCATCCCAGCCTCTGTAATTATAATAATCCTGAATACCAAGACTGATATTATGACCTCTGAGGGCAATTTAAGTCAGTTTAGAGTGAGATCAGTGCTTCCATAATAGGAAGTGGTGTAAAAATATTTTTAAAAACATTTGAAAATAGTAATATTCTAGAATTAATAGGTGGCAGGGGCTTGAAATGCATGTTGTGGTTGGAAGAGTGTGCAGATGCTGCTTGCTAACACCCTGGTAGGAGAGGTTTTTCTTCGCTTATGGACCTAATTCCTGAAGATGGTTAAGACTGTAACTTGTTGGGATGATTGGACTCCTGCTCTAAACTCAGCCATCAGAAATTGTACATCTTGGAAACCACTTCATTATTTAGGCTTCTGCTTCCTAGTTTTGTGTCTTGGATTCCTCTGTGCTAGATCACCTAGAAGATGCCAAGTTGTTGGTTTTTTTACAGGCTAAGATTTCATTCTGCAACAGTACAAGTTTTTGCTGCTATATTATGCAAACGTATGATTCAAATGGTTGATGTACTGTTATCGGCTAAACGTCTTGACCACCCAAACATTGCTTTTCACTATACAAATTATTAAAAATACACAACAAATCAAAATAAAACAATAAAAACATCACAATAGGTATAAAATCAAGAGTAATAATAATGCATGGAATTGATTAAATCACAATACAGTAAAATGAACCACAAAGACTCACAGAGAATTTGTTTGTTTTGAGCTTTACTTGTTTTTTTTTTACTTATATTTGACTTTCAGGTTCTCTTATATAGTGGGCAACTTGATATCATTGTGGCAGCTCCACTGACTGAACGATTTCTGCCTACTGTGCCATGGGCCAAGATGAAAGAATACAAAAATGCTGAGAGAATTGTATGGCGAATATATGATAAAGATCCTGAAGTTGCAGGCTATGTACGCCAAGTGGATGAATTCTATCAGGTGAGATGAGACATTTCCTAAGAAAAACAAAGTATAGGTTAACTGTGACACAGTAGGAGGACAGCCATGTTAGTCTATTATAGCAAAAAATCAGGAGTCCAGTAGCAGCTTTTTAGACTAACACATTTTATTAAAAGGCATAAGCTTTTCTGAGTGTATCACCTTGTCACTTACCTGGCAACTTGGGGGAAGAGAATTAGAAGAGAATGTTAAGTATCAGAAAGAAAGAAAAAGAGATAAATTTTTTAAAAAGCATTAGAAGAGAATAAATGTAGCTCATAGTTGAACTGTGGAGTCCTTGGTGCTCTCTGAGCTTGGTTGTTTGCTTGCAGACATTTCATTACCTGACTGGCTAACATCAGCAGTGGTAGTGAGTGTGGGGTTTGTTTCCTGTTAATATAAAAAAAGCATGTCAAGAATAAAAAATGTCATAATGTCTGAACAGAATAAGAGAAAGAATGGATGACCTCCTCGGTCTGTAGTCATATGCCCTCAGTTGGTGACCCTGAAAATAATTCACCTCTTGGTTATTTATCCTGTCATAGGAATACCAACAAATTACTTTATTCCCAGGAATTTCTCTAAAATAAATTCACGTGAGGAACAAGTAGTCCTCGTTTACCAACCACAATTGGGACCAGGAACTTGGTCGTTAAGTGGTCACTAAGTGAAATCACGACTGTCCTTATGAACTTAGTTTAGGTTTCCTTTGCTTTACAGACCTGCAAGGGTTGTAAATGTGAGGATTGGTCGTAAAGTTACTTTTTCATCACCGTCATAACGTGAACGGTCACTAAACAAGGACTACCTGTAAAGTGTGCCAAAGTGAGATACTGTGCCACTTCTTTCATTGCATGTGATTGAGTCTAGTCTAATTTTAGGTGAAAGCATTTTTCTCCCACACTGTGGACTATGCATTTATTAACATTACAAGCACTGAGCACAGTAATTTTAGAGGCGGACCTAAGATATGCACTCTTCTCTATCCCAGTCTGGCTGGTGATGTGGGAAGCAGCAAGATTTACCAAATCTTCATTCTATCCCTGCTCCACTAGGGTGGACAATGGATCAGAATTACTGTTGTTAGTTCTAGATAAAAGTATGATATGCTTGCTTGCTTCCCCCATGAAACAGCCACAAACAGGTTAACATATTATTCTGCATTGGCTTGTTACAAACAATTACATTCTCCGTCAGCAATACAAATTCTTACAAATATATTCTGCTCTTACTGATATTCTTCAGGCACTTAATTAAAGTATGGCTACTGCAGGCCTAATATCAAAACCTTTCCATTCTTCTAATTTGTATTTTTCAGCTAAGTTTAAAATACAGCATCTTTGCTATTTCATAAGGAAACATTTAGTATTAGTTTATACTAAAAATCTTAAGCTTTGAAAAACTTCACCACCACATGACCGTAATATAAAAAATGTGCTAGTATGCAGTGGCTCTATATAAAGTAAATAATGAAGTATTCAGTTTCAGTACAATGAAATAATTTTGTTTATTGAATTAGCCAAAGTGAATGCATTAAAAGGAATCAAAACTCCACTTAAAATCACATTTATTTAATATTATAAAAAGATCACAAATACAAGTTAGTATTAGTCTGAGGTTGACAGTTAATAAAATAAACCTATGCATAAAATACACTGATAAAACCAACTAAAAAGCATCTAAAGAGTCTCTCCATCACAAAATTACTTCTCCTTGGGTTAAAACACTATTTTTCTCTACCATTCCACTATTTAATTTTTTTAAAGTAATGCCTTACTATTCAGGATAATTTTGCATACAGAATAAGTCCATGCAAAAGGCTGGCTCACATATGTTCCTTACTTCTGTGCATTTGGAAGGAGGAGTAATCCAAGGTTCCATTTTGCATCTGATAATTCCTAGCCATATAATGGTTTCAAATAAATTACCTCGTTAAGCAAGCCAACTAAGCCATCCAAAGCTAATTGGAGTTTGCTTTAAACTATAATTCCTGATTCGTTCATAAAAATGTGGTTATGAATTCAATAAAGTAAAACTGCTAATTGATTCCTCCTCTTAGCCACATGAGAACAGAGGGGAGGGGAACAAGGTAAACTGCAGTTTTTACTCTGACTCATTCTGCTAATAATGTACATAATCTTAAATCTAGGTTTGCGATTTGATGTCTCCAGCCATTTGTGCATCCGTTGGGTCTTTGTGCAAAGTATAGTTCAGTATTTAAAATGGATTACTTACTCTCATTCAAGAGAGTTATGTTAATTAGATAAAATATAATTTCAAGAGTTATTTTAGTATTTTGGAATTCTTTATACATTCTTATTTACAGCTTCATTAAAAATGTCTTAGTCTTCAAAAGGCTCTAAGTATCCTCCATTTTTATTATTTGAATGATACTGAAAACCATCAACCATCAGACACTTTAGTTAGAAGCTGCCTGATTTGTGGGTGTCTTAAATGTCCTTGTTCCTCTCAATGTTTTGTCTCATTAATATGTTCTCTCTTCCTCCATGGGCCTCTTAGTTTTTTCTTTCTTCTTTCAGTTGTCAAGCCTAACAATTTCACAATATTTTTCTGTTTGTATAAGAATTCTCATAGGAGTTCAGGTCCTCACCACACACACTGCTGTGGCATTTAATAACTTCCCAGCTAGGATGGGGTGTGTGTGTTTGTGTGTATCATTCAATGGGACTGTGGAAGACAGCACTGGAAGTCAACTCAAGACAGCTCGCACAAGTGGCCATCAAGTGCGGCATACACCAAGTGTTTATATAATAAACAACACTGTCCCCACTGCTATTCTGCATAGGCTTGAACCCCCTAAGCCAGATAATCACAAGGACTGGATACGGATACAAATTCAAGAGTGGAACTACCATCAGCCACCTCCTCTACATGGATGACATCAAGCTGTATGCTAAAAGTGAACGAAACATCGACTCTCTGATCTACTTGACACGGATCTACAGTGAGGACATTGGGACGTTATTTGGACTGGAGACGTGTGGCCGGATGGTAGCAAAGAGAGGAAAGGTAGTTCAGACTGATGGGGTGGAACTACCAGCAGGCCACATAGCACACATACAGAACAGCTACAAGTACCTTGGTATTCCACAGTCACATGGGAACCATGAGGAGGAGGCAAGGAAGACAGCAACATCCAAGTACCACCAAAGGATAAGACAGGTCCTGAAGAGCCAGCTCAATGGGAAGAACAAGATCCATGCCATCACATCTGATCCTGCCAGATTCTGCCGGTATAGTGAGCTGGCCAGAGGAGGACATGGAAGCTGCTGATGTGAAGACCTGCAAGCTCCTCACAACGTATGGAGGTTTTCACCTCAAGTCCAAAACCCAGAGACTGTACACCAGCCAGAAAGAGGGCGGGCAGGGTCTGGTGAGTGTCAAAACTACTGTCCTGGATGAAACCCAGAACATCAGTAAGATGGCACCCAAAAATGAGCTGCTGAGAGAATGCCTGAAGCAGCAGATACAGGAGGAAGTTCAAGCAGAGGAAGTGCCATGGCAAGACAAGACACTGCATGGGATGTACCATCAATGGATAGCTAAGGTGGCTGACATTGGGAAAGCCTACCAGTAGGTGGAAAGGGCTGGACTAAAAGACAGCACTGAGGCACTGATCATAGCAGCAAAGGAACAGGCACTAAGCACCAGATCCATAGAAACGGGTCTACCACACTAGACGTGACCCAAGGTGTAGACTGTGCAGAGAGGCCTCAGAAACAGTCCAACACATAGTGGCAAGGTATAAGATGCAGGCAGGAACATCATACACTGAACGGCAGAACCAAGTAGCTGGGATTGTGTATAGGAACATCTGCACGGTGTATGGGCTAGACCCTTCCAAGTCCAGATGGGAGATTCCACAGAAGATCCTGTGGGACCTCCAGATCCAGATGGAGAGGCAGGTACTGGCCAGTCAAGCAGACGTCGTGGTAGTAGACAAGGACAAGAAGACAGCGGTGCTGATAGATATAGCGGTGCCAAGTGACAGCAACAGGAGTATGAGAAGCTGGAGAAGTACCAGGGTGTGAAAGAAGAACTAGAGAGGATGTGGAAAGTAAAGGCCAAAGTGGTCCCAGTAGTGGTAGGAGCACTCCGGACTGTGACTCCTAAACTGGGAGAGTGGCTCTAACAGATTCCAGGAACAACATCAGAGTTCTCTGTCCAGAAGAGTGCAGTGCTAGAACCAGTAAGATAATGCACAGAACCCTCAAACTCCCAGGCCTCTGGTAGAGGACTCGAGATTGAGGAAGGCACATACACCCATAGGGGTGAGAGGTTTTTTTTTTTTTTTTTTAATAAGAATAAATAAGGTATATGCTCATATAATCTTTTAATTCAAGTGTATGGGGGAAAAACGTATTGTGTATTTCTAGGTCAAGTCTGGAAAGGAGTTTGTCTAGAGGTGTCATATGATCTGCCTTTGGAGTAGATAATTTTCTTTCATCCAGACCAGCCCATAAACTAAGCAGGGTTATATTCAGGGACATATGACAAGAAGATGCATGAACTTAAAATGCTGGTATTCACAGCCCTTTGTTTTCTTGAAGCTGAATGATCAGAGAGCACCCTGAAATGTTACAGCTGTTGCCTTCTTTTTCTTCAAACACCAAGGTCAAAGAGGAAGTGGGTAAATGTAAGCAAAGGCTTTGAGTTCTACTGTTACTTTCTGGTTGTGCACAAATACCATTTGGAATTGAGTTCTATGGACTCCTGTTCATTTTTCCTTTTCCCACTCTTTCCCCAGTTCTGTATATTCCTGGGCAGAAAAGAGGAAAAAACCATCCACCTAGTCTTTTTTTCAGAAAGTGTATGCATGTCTGTGGAACTTCAGCTTCTGCAGTTCCACTGAAGCTCGAATGACTTTGCAGACATTTGCAAGATGTTTAGCAGCATCTACTCATAGCTGTCAGTCAATTGCAGAATAGAAGGTCTATCTTGAAGGATTAGAATAGAGGTCAAAATGATTCCAGAGTAAA